TAGGAGAATTTGAACTTGAGATGCAGTCGTTAGAAATTGTGTTTATATTAGATAATTGATAACGTAGGTTAACTAGAATTGATTATTTTTGTGGATTAAAATTTAGGAAGTTTAGTTTTATATGACTACGATATTGGGCCTTATTACCTCTAAGTGTAAACAGGAAGCAATAACAAGTACCTGGTCATCTTTATTGGCTTGTGATTTAGTTGTTAGTTAAATAATGTATTAATCTATGGTACAATTGTGGTATAATCCAATTTTAGGGGAGGCTCCGCCGGAATTTCGATGGAATCTAGGTTAGTCATAATTAATAATTAAGTTAATAGGTTTATTTAGATAAAATTCTTTAACTTGTTATATATATATATATATATATATATATATATATAGTTATATTATATTGAACATGAAGTTCTTTATTTACTTTTTTTATTATTTGTTTATTTGTTTATTCTTCCAAATATCAATTATTAATTATGATTACTAATTACTACTCCTTTATTTTAATTGTAATTGAAAGGTGAATGTCTAATTGTACAGCTTGCATCACGATATTTAATTATTTGCATCACGATATTTAATTATTTGATGTGCCTGCATTTAATTGCAATACTTGATTATTTGTGTTATGAAAATGTTATGCCTTGTTTGTGTGGATTGGAATGAAGTGAGTCACCATGGGTTAGTGAGGGCGGTCCTTGATATCGTCGGCCATGTATGAGGAGATCGGCGTCCCCGTGTGTACCTAATGATATGATATGGATGATATGGAAAATCACAGCGTGGCCTCCTGTTGGTATAGAAAAGAAAAGAGAGAATGGAAAAACAATGAGAAGGCTAGTCAAGTGAGGATTAGACCGGTCGGCCATGTATGGGCGATTGGCTCCCTGGTGCACACATCATGAGAGGATGGGTTATGTGTGAGGACGACTCATCGGGGGTTTCGGTCACGCCACAGACCAATTTCCACGTGATGTGATTATGTGAAGGTGTTAATATCTGTGATTGCTATTGTTGTGCCATGTGTGTGATCGCCTGCATGATCATATATTTAGTCCATGCATCAATATATATCTTAGTTCAGAAGATGATAGGAGTTGAGCTCATAACTTAATACACCATTCATGTCCCAATGATAATGTTATTTAGTTGCCCCAATAATTATAAATTCATTAAAATAAAAACTGCGCGATGCTCTTGGGTAAGTCAATAGGGTGATTAATTAAAGATTTTAATAAAATTGATGTTTGTTTAGGTTGCGAAATTACTTTCCTTTTTTTTTAGATGAGTTGGTCAAGCATCCCTAATCAGCCCGACGGGATCCGAAACCTTGCGGTTATAGGCGATGAAATAGTGGGCGCGAGGTGCGAACGACAGCCACGATCTCCGGAGAGCCTAATTTCTGTGGGAAATCCGTCGGAGTAAGCCCGCCATACCCTTTCCACATTACTTTCCTCAGCTGCCCTTTAGCATGCTTCGTTTATTACCAATGGGCATCTGCCAAAACTCAATATAAAATTTACCGAAATAATTCTATGCGCAAAACATTCCGGTGGCCTCACTCCGGAACGCATTCCGCGGCCATATTGGCAGGTTTTAGCCCAAATATCTCATCTGCTCTTGTCCGTGTCGCTTATTCACGCCATTATGTGGGCCATAAATTGGCGCTCTAAAGTTACATGTAGATGGGACGTAAGGCATGCGTAATTCATTTTTTTTACAATTCTGACGCCGGTGCTTGAGTTTTTTTGAGCCTACCCAAAATCGTAGGGCAGTTTATACCCCGTTGGTCTTACTTAGCAAAGCCCTGGCGTGTATGTAAGCCCTCCTCTACGCTGTTCCGAAAGCCGATTAATCTTTGTACCCTAAAGCGAGGTGCTTACCTATGTTTGGGCTTCATTCTGGGGAGCACCTTTACTATTAAGCGCGTTCTTTTCTTTTTATGGTCCAATTCCACCGGATCTCCTTACTCACCCGTATCCTAAGACTATATGCCTTATCTCGGCTGTTAGTCTGGCTTTCATTTAAGGATTGTAAAAACCTCAATATAAATTAATTGCGCAAAATCGGTGTCCACTCCGGCACAAAGCATTTTGCGCCAGTCTTTAGCCCAATTATCTCTCTGTCTATTGTCCCCCTTATCACGCCATTTTGAGGCCATAAATATTTCTGTCTAAAGGCAGCATGTAGGAACAAGCATTGTTTAATCATTTTTGTTTTTTTTTTCTTATCTTCAATTCGCAGCCAGCAGAACCGGTATTTCGGTGGCCCCAAAGAATGTATATACTCCCTCTTGGTCTTAGGAGTGCCCTGTGTGAAGCCCTGTTCCGGGACAACATAGCCGCATATCTTCTGGTATTTATGCCTTTGCACGCCGCGACGATTAGTTCCTATATATAGATTAACTGAAGAGTAGTCAGAAAGACCCAGTCGAAGATAACGCAGAGTAGTAGAAGCAGAAGCAGAGCGGAGCGAGGTTTTCCATATAGACTTCATCCTGGGGGGCGCGGCATAGTTTTAGGGCGGTCTTATAGGTCTGAATCGGTATATTATCGCCTATCTCGGCTGTTAGTTGCTTCTTAAACTATTTCAGGGAAGTGTAGATATACTTCTACGCTCCAGAGTTAAATTTCTCTGTTCCTCGTTCACGGCGAGCTAGATAGATAAATAATTTCTATTATACAATAATTAGTCTCTTGAGTGGTTTATAAAATCCTAAATGTTCTGTTTAATAATGTGAAGTCAGCAGTATGTAGAGATATAACTCAATAAACTGCCATGAGGATGTTCAATTAAATTCATTCTTATGAAAAATGCGCTCGCAATTCTGTTTAGGCCCACTACTACAAGTGTATTTTGTTTTATTTATGTGGGCACCGAGCTATTAATGTGTTTTAAGTTGGGTTAAATTTAGGGTAAAGATTATAATTAATAATGTGGTGATTAGTATATTATGCATTGACAAGTTATCGCCCCCTGATAGACTGAACTCATCTGCTATTGGTATAGTTATAAGCTTTTGTAGTTTGTAGTTCAGCTTCTCTGCTGTTTAATATTGAACTCCGCAGTTGTAGGAATAAAATCAATAAACTGATGAGGATGTTCAATTAATCATTTATGAAAATGCTCGAATCTGTTAGCCCATATTAAGTGTATTTTGTTTTATTTTTGGGCCCGAGCTATAAATTGTTTAAGATGTTAAATTTAGGTTAAAGAATAATAAAATAATGTGATTTATAATGCATGACAATATGGCCTGGATGCTTGAAACATGCATTGATATAGTTAAGATTTGTAGTTTTAGTTTACTATGGGTCTCGGGGGCCTTAAGCTTACCTGGATCCTAGAGCCGGTCCAGCTCATGGAAACAGGTCGTGACAAAAATACATAAAAAATTTTTATAGTAAAAACTAGAAAGTGATAAAATAAATTTACTAAATATGAATTTTATATTTACCATAAAAAATTGGACTATTAAAAATAGAAATAAAAATTCGAGAACAACATGTGGAATAAACATGAAATAGATCAAATACAATAAATATAATATCTTTAAAATGATTAAAATAAAATATTGAAATTAACTAAAAATATAAATAATATTTTAAGTTCCATATCATATTTAATAATCATTTATTTTTCTTGAATAATTAAAATGTTTAAAACATAATTTCTATACATGATAATTTCCTAAGATATTCTTAATTGTACAATTATAATGATTTCGCCTTAAATTTTGCAACTCAAATAAGAACATTCAACTATTTACAATTGTTGAAAAAAAAAACAATATATCTATTCAGTATAGCTTTTCCATATCCATTCCATCCTTTTAAAAAAAATAATAATAGTAATTTTTTTTACTCTTACATACTAAAAAAAACATTTGGCCCTGGCAACATGATGATATATTTACTAACTAGATGAACGCTCGATCGCACGGGTAACTTTATTACAGTTCAATTATTCTCACACAATTACAAGAAGTTTTTATCTTTTAAAAAAAATAAAATTTATCATTTCAAGTGAACGTCAATAATTTTGTATTTTAATTTCTCATCCAATTATCAATCAAAGAAGCAATATCTTAATTTAATTTTGCTTACTCAAAAATGGTTGTCATTACAACGGTAATAGCAGCTATTAGATTAGTCATTACACTTGTTGTAGTTGAAGAGGTTATGTAAAATCCATCAACCTCCGTTTCCATGTCAACAAAAATTCCAGCATGGTACAAAATCTCTCGTCTTATTTGTATTTCCAGCATATCATGTACGATGGAGACACTCGATTGAAAATAATTTTGGAGTTCACACACTTGATTGTAAAATTTTTCTGTTAATGCACCAAAAAAAAAAAAATTTAAGAGTTTAAACACTAAATTTATAATTAAAAAACTTTTCTATTAATGCAACAAAATAAAAAAAAATTTGAGAGTTCAGACAATAAATTTATAATTAAGCCTGCACTAAATAATAAATTCTCCTACTTATACCCCTATTTAGTAAATTAATTAACGAAAATCAAAATTGAGTAACAATAACTAACCATTACAGTATTGCTTTTTTAACAAAAAAACAACTAGAAATTCTCATATGAGGTGAGAGGACAAAACTTTGGTGTGTAAAGACCGAATACCTCAAGTAGACCCCACCCATCATCGTCCACCTCCTCCTCACGAATAAACGAATAAAACCAGCCTGTGATAGAGCTGTGAACACTACATGGCTCCTCCAAAAGACATGTAGGAAGCTATCATGTTTGTAAATTACGCATTTTTGGTATGCAAGTTCCTGTAGCCGGTGGCTTTCCCGGCCGCCGCCAAAGATTCATAATGGGCTTATAGTGAGCGTGTCAGAAATTCTCATATGAGGTGAGAGGACAAAACTTTGGTGTGTAAAGACCGAATACCTCAAGTAGACCCCACCCATCATCGTCCACCTCCTCCTCACGAATAAACGAATAAAACCAGCCTGTGATAGAGCTGTGAACACTACATTTCACCTCTCTCTCTCTCTCTCTCTCTTTCTCTCTCTCTTACTTCTTCTTCATTCTCGATCCCTTCTCCATTCAATTCCTCTTCTTCTTCTTCTTCTTCTTCTTCTTCTTCTTCTTCTCTGACTCTCATTGACTAATTCCATTACAATGAGCTCTATTATCCAGAGCTTTCAGAAGAGAGCGAATTCACTTCCAGTCTCACAGATCTGTGATGATTCAAAAGATCAGGGCCTGCGTAGGAGGCTCTCTTCTCTTTCCCTGAAAATCCAACCCATTGCTTCACCTGCAGCTTCATGGGCATTTCGCAGATCCAAATCCGTGTCCTCCATGGGAGAATACGCAGGAACTTCAATAAGAAAATGGTGGGATTGGGGCTGGTCTTGGATTCTCTCAAGAAAACCCATTTTTGCTAAAGATCTGGAAATGAACGAAGAAGAAACCAGAATTCTTGGTTGCCATAACAAAGGAAGCTGGAGACATGTGTTCTATAAAGTCAGATCAGAAATAAGAAAGATTGTGAGATCTGAAAATAAAGTTGGCCTTCCTCAAACTTGCAGGTATGATTCTTTCAGTTACTCAAAGAATTTTGATAATGGAATTAATAACCAGACCTATTAATTATGAAAATCAAGATTGAAGATTCAAGCTTTTCCAATGCCAAATAAAGATTCAAGATTCAGGATTCAATTGATCAAGAAGCAAGAGATATATTATAGATAATTAAGATTCTTTTTAATGTATTGCATTTTCTTTTCTTTTCTTCACGTAATTAGATATAGAGAAAAAGATCTGGAAGCTGAACTTATGGCTCCTGCTTATAATTGAATGTTGGAAATGGGATTTGAAATTGTACCGTTTAAAGCAGGGTGCTGTTGGGATTTAATTAGTTGAATTTGAATGTTGTTGTTGTATGTGACTTTGAAGACGAGCAACTGTCGTTTAGTATTGTAAATGAGAATGTTTATTGTAATTATTTATTTATTTGTTTGTTTTATTATATTTTGGAAGGGTTCATTGTATTTGTTATATTATGTGAGTAAAAAGAATTATTAGCTGTTCTTTCTTGTTCTGTCATTTTCAAATTAAAAAAAAAAAAAAAAAAAAAAAAGAATGTTTATTGTAATCTTTCTACTTTATTTTGTTTCTTGCTTTTTATTCAGTATTTTTGGAAGTGTGTTCATTGTATTTGTGTATTTATATATTTTAAGAAGATTATTAGCTGTTCTCTCTTCTTATTCTGAATCATTTTTCATAATTATACAAGAAATACATAAAAAAAAAAAGAACAAGAAATTTGATGCAATTCATAGCGTGTAGCAACAACATTTCACTGTCGCACCCGAACATCGTTGGGGCTTTTTTTTTCTTCTGTACATGCATTTGTTGTGGCTCTAAGTTTTGTCTTTTATTATTAATTATCTATTTTTTTAAATTACTGATTATAATGTATATACCTTTATTGATAAAATAGTGATTTAAGATAGATTCAAATTCAAAAAAAAAAAAAAAAAAAAAACAAGAATTTGATGCAATTTGCTGTAGCAACCAACATTTCACTGTCTCACCCGACATTTGGGGCTTTTTTTTTTCTCTGTACATGCAATTTGCTGTGGCAGTTTTGTCTTTTATTATTATTATTATTTTTTTAAATTACTGATAAATGTATATACCTTATGATAAAAGATTAAGATAGATTCAAATTCAAAATTCATTTTCGATGCTCAAAAGTAAAAGCAAAATAAACCTATCATGACAGAAATTTTATGAATGTAATAAGAATTCAACTTAAAATGTTAAGTTTTAGAGCCTCGCTTTTAGCCATTAAACTAAAATATTACTATTATAAATATACATTTTTTTTATGAATAAAAAAAAAAAATGAAATGGAGTCGGATTCGATCTAAGGGAATAAAAAACTGTCATAACTTGAAGAATTTGTATTGAAAACCCGAGAGTTATGGCTTGAAAAATATAAAAAGAGACGGAGATTATTCATCATTGTAATGGGAAAACAGAAGGAGTGGGCTTGTTTGTTGCACACAGCTTGGAAGTGTCGGTGACTGACTTGTATTGAAACTGCAATGCCAATCATTGACAGCAGGGATTCATGGATCGATGCATGTGAGCCACTCCAAAAAGTGTAAATTTATTTATTTATGTTTTATTTTTCATTTTGGATGTTTGACATCTTCTCTCTATTTATTATGCTTAACATCTAGCGGTTGAGTCACAGAATTTTGTTTTTTATATGCGACGTCGGATCCAGGATTCAAAGTTACGGCATTTTTTTTTTTAAAAAAAAACAAATTTTTATTTTTGTTAAATTAAACTTTTTATTTTACGGAGGTCTAAAAATATGCAGTCATCACTCATGAATTTTGCTCTTACTTGTAAAGGACAATGATAGTGAAATGGTGTTAGTCTAAAAGGGGACGGATGGGCTTCTTGAATCTTGCATCTATTAGGCTGCTTAGAGAGCATGGGTGTAGGGGAGTGACTAGTGCTCAAAAGTCACTTGGATTCTAGAGTCCTTGTCCCGGCCCTTCATAGGTGCCTCTACGCCTATGGAAGGTGTCATTGGTTGCCTTATTATAATTTTGGTTGTCTTGATGTAATATTTGATATATAAATAAGAGTTACCCTTTTGCCCCTATGTGTGATGTTGTGCTATGCTTTGTTATGTGTTCCTCAGTGATGTTTGAATCGTTCTTATATTCGAACCCATATAATTATATATCGGTATTATATTGTTCTAACACCCATTATTGGCTTGCAGATAACTAATTGATATCCTCGGCTGGCTTGTTTGAGGGTGTGCCAAGCAGGCGCCACACGGTCTGGTCTTTGATGCGTGATACGGGACCGTGACATTTGGTATCAGAGCATTGGATTGCAGATAGATTGAATGATGAAAATGATGAAATCCTCCAGTGTTGAAGCTTTAGAGAAGCGAGTGGAAGAGCTTGCTGCTTTTATAGAAAAGAATGTGATTGTTGGTGAGCCAATAATTGTTCCTGAACGGCAAGAGGCCAAAGAGCGCATTGAGGCACTAGAAGAGAAAGCGATGGAGATGCAGACCTCGCTTTTTGAATTGAATCGCTCAATTGATGCCCTGCGTCTCACCTCGGCCACTACGGGTCGTGAGGTAGGAGACGAGGAGCAATGTCCTGCCCCGACCACTCAGGGTGGTGAGGCAGGAGACAAAGAAAAGATCAAGAACCTTGAGACTAAGGTGCAAAGCTTGGCAGGACTGCCAAGAAAGCTGGATGAGGCCCCCACTGAATTGTGCGACTACATAAAACCTATGGTTGATGAGGCCAAGACAAAGGTGAAAGAGTTTGGCGACGAGTTGGAGAAACTATCAGAAAGGATGAAAGACTACGAGGTAGTCAAAGAAAAGGTTGACTTGCTCTCAATTGCCACTAGAAATGTAAAAGTCCACCCTCCACGAATTTGGAAAATGAAAATTCCAGATCCACCACCTTTTAAAGGAGTGCGAGATGCACGGGCAGTAGATAATTTCCTCTTCGATCTGGACACTTACTTTAAGGCCACGAACACCACCTCGGACGAAGAAAAATTGAGCCTTGTTCCAATGTTTTTAGCAGAAGATGGCAAGCTATGGTGGCGCACCAAGGTTGAGGAGGTGCAAGCCTCGGACGAAGAAAAATTGAGCCTGTTCCAATGTTGTGTTTAGTCAGTAGCATGGGCAAGCTATTGGGCGCACAATGGTTTTGGTAGGAAGGTGCAGCTGGCTAACTTAGACATGAGCACTTGGAGGAGTTTTTGCCATAGTTATTGAAATCAGCATCTCTACCCGATTAGAGCAATAGCATTAATAAGGCTCAGCGTAGGTTGCAAAATGCCAACATTACAGATTCTTGTTCGGAGTACCGTGCTCGACAAGATTCATTTGCACCAATGCATGCTGGATATTCAAAACTATACGATAGCAAACAATTCTGTTCGGGAGTTCGATCGGTTTATTTACTTTTTCTAAAAAAGGACACAAATCCATGGGTCTAAGGATAAGTCTGGAACCACTCAGTGTAAGGCGACGGACTATTGAATCGGCCCATAAAGCTAGTAGTAGAGGGCACTGGTTTATGACTTATAGCGCGACACTTCTTCAAATGCAAATGTCTGGTTAACCAGGTTGCGGGTGACATTTCTCCCCAACAGAGTGGGTGAGACCAATTCGGTTAACCAGGTGCGGGTGACAATCTCCCCAACAAGTGGGTGAGACCCACAAGTGGGGGAGCAAGTTCAACCAATTCAGAAGTGAATGTGGAAAGGAGGCCTTGGAACTCCAGCTATAAAAATGCCCCAAGTCATGCAGCAGTCGGGAATGCTGAGCCACGAAAGAACTTCACTTTCCGAGAGGAACGTAGAGCACCAGGAGGAAATAACATGGGTGGGGGAGTGGCTAGAACCATCAAATGTTTTTTTTTGCAAAGGGCCACATAAAATGTCAGAATGCACAGTAATAGACAAGGCCATGAATGCCCTCCAGCTACAGGAAGAAAAGGAGCATGAAAGACAGGCTTCAGACTCAGGCAGTGTTAATCCCGCGGTGGTTGGAGCATTGAGATTCTTGGGGACCTTGGAACGTCAGGCCAGGGAAAAGACAGAACCACCTAAAAAGGGATTGATGTATATTGACTTCACTCTGAATAGAAAGTTAGCAAAGGCGATTGTAGATACGGGAGCAATGGATAACTTTTTGAATTGTCCAATGGTATCGAAATTCAAACTACAAGTGAAGAAGGACTCGGGGAAGCTGAAGGTAGTGAATTCGGAGGCAGTGAAGACAGTGGGAGTTGCTGCTGATGTCCTATGCCGATTGGGGTCTTGGGAAGGGAAAATAAATTTCACAGTGGCTCCAATGGATGACTTTGATATCGTGTTGGTGTAACGCCCCATTTTTTCTGTGTCTGAAATAGTAAGTTACCGGTCTGTGAATAGTATCATCGGTCTGAGAATAAAGACGGTGTCTCCGGCACCGAATGTGGCATCCGCCGTCGGGTCTCTCGGGACTGGGTGGCGGGTGTTACAGTTGGGATTGGACTTCTTGAATGTGGCGAAAGGCATGTCGATCCCTACCGCGAATTGCCTTCTTCTGATGGGGGAACAACCATGTGTTGTGCCAGCAACTGTTAGTCCGATTAATGAAAAGAAGTTATTATCGGCCCTCCAGTTCAAGAAAGGGATAAAGAGGGATGAACCTTCATATGTAGTAATTCCAATCCACAAAGAAGAGACAGAGCCCACTGGCCACCCCGAGTTCATCAATGAGGTGATATTATGCCGGAGCAGTTGCCTAAAACCTTACCTCCCCGTCGAGATGTTGATCACCAGATTGAGCTACTACCTGGGGCCAAACCTCCTGCTCGGGCCAGTTTCTAAATGAGGTGATATTTGATGCCGGGTAAGCAGTTGCCTCTAAAAACTCCTTGTTACCTCCCCGTCGTAGACTGTTGATCCCAGTGATTGAGCTACACTACCTGGGGCCAAAACCTTCCTGCTTCGGCCCTCTCCTATAGGAATGGCCTTCAACCAGGAATTGGTAGCAGTTGAAGGAGTACAATCTAGCTCCCCGTCGAGATGTTGATCACCAGATTGAGCTACTACCTGGGGCCAAACCTCCTGCTCGGGCCCCCTATAGAATGGCTCCACCAGAATTGGTAGAGTTGAGGAGACAACTAGATGAGCTCTTAGAGGCAGGATTTATCAAACCCTCTAAGGCTCCTTTCGGGGCCCCAGTACTATTCCAGAAGAAAAAAGATGGCATCCTGATACTTTGTATTGATTACCGAGCTCTGAATAAGGTCACGGTGAGGAATAAATATCTCATTCCACTGATAGCAGATCTATTAGACCAGTTGGGACAAGCTCGGTACTTCACCAAGCTAGATCTTCGATCAAGCTATCACCAAGTCCGCATAGTAGAAGGGGATGAACCGAAAACAACATGTGTGACTTGGTATGGAGCATTCGAATTTCTTGTCATGCCTTTTGGTTTAACTAATGCACCTACTACTTTTCATACTCTAATGAA